ATTAATATTTTTTTATATATATTTGGTCAAAGTTGAAAATATTTGACTACTCCGGGAAGGAGAATGACACTCTTGGATGGAAGGAGTAAGTGGTACATGTATTCCTTCTTAAATAATGGAACTAGTAATATAATAAACCTATAAAAATGTGAAACAAAAACTGTCAATGCATGGATATATGCATAATTTATTTATAATTTATAATAACTATTATAAAAGTATGACCAAAGGAAAGGTCCTGTCATGGCGCATGGGTAGCTGCAAAGTGAAACCAGACATTTATGCGGCATGCCAAATTGCCAATAATTGGAGCCCTAAAAATATTCGGAGCTACATGAACGAGGAGATCGCTAGCTCACGAGACGGATGGACGATGCATGGCCGGAGACGACGCGTCAAATCGTCCCTTCTTCTCCATCAAAAGTTGCGTCCAGCAGATCGATGCGCGCGCGCAGCGGGCATCCGGATCACTGGTCCATTTCGCGCCGGTGCTTTTGCCGGGGGAGACTGCCGGTCCCCGGTATGGTGAAACCTAGACCAGCCGTGATGCCAGCTCTGGGCTCTGGCTGGCCGGCTACCATGGACGTGTGCTAGCTCTAGCTCTTTGTGCACTGGATGCTAGCTGACTGCATGCGCCGATTATGGAAACGCGTACATTGCATATTTGCATGCATGCTAAGGACATTTTTAGATTGCTTGTGGATATATTGGTCTTTTATTTAAGGTGTACTCCCTCCGTCACATATTATTTTTGTATTTTAGCTCTAGACACGGGAATTACGAACCAGCGAAAAACTTGTGGTACACAGAAACCAAGAAGTACTTCGTATAGAGATAGAAATGTCTTGGGAAAAACAAAATATGTATTGAGAAGCACAAATAACAAAATAAATTGGGACAAAAGTTGAAGATTAAAATGACTTTTATTATGTGATAGAGAGAGTAGGTTTTATTTTCATAGATAGGATGTAATGTAATTAATGGGTTCTGCCTATGCGATTTGCCACATGGGCCAAAGTCAAGACACACCTCTAGCTTGGGGGCACCATGTCTAAAAATAAAGATTCCTAGAGGTCATTGTTTAAATTGTCAATCTCTGATAACTATCTATTTTCAGGGACGAGAAGTGACTGTCCTCTTGAAAGAAGCATAAACGAGGTGAGTAGTACCCCCTTCTTTCATGGACTGCTCCATTCAGAGTAGCAAGGGCTTGGAAAGGTTAAATTTTGTCATTTATTCCCATGTGTGCGTTTTTGTCTTTTAGCTTGCTTCTTAATTTATGGCTTGGTTGGTGCTTTTGACTTAGAGAGGGCATAGTATTTTTCTCCATATTTTGAAGATCATTTTAGCTCAAATTAGTGGTCAATCTTACTCCAATGAAGTGTGATCACTCAATTGGATGTTCTATAATCTCTAGCATGTCCACCATGGATGGAGAGTTGATTGGAGGCATACATTGTATTGCCGCTAGATGCATGTTCTCTCTCGAATGTGGCAGAAAAATGTTTCAAATCTAATGAGAAAACAAATTTGAATAAAAGGTGTGAAATAAGATTCAATTTTTAAAAAATGTTTTTCAGTGATAGTTCTTAATTAGCTCACTACCTTTGGAATACACTCCTAGAGACAGGCCATTCGAGCGAGTCACTTCTAAAAATGAATTTTCAAATGTGGTACCTTGCATATCCTGCCTCTAAAAATAAAGTATCTTTATAGGGCTTTACAGAGAAGGTTGTCCTGCATACTTTATGTTAACCAATTTAACCTATCTTGGAAAATGGGTTTATAGTAGTGCGTGAGCTAGCAGGTGCTGCAGCACCAGCAACACCTGCCCTGGCTCTCCCCCGGTCCATCGTGATTGGATTAGTAACTTAGATTTGTTTGTGTAACACAAGATGTTATATGGACGTGAGAAAATCTCCAAGCTCTCTCATGCTGTAGTGCTACCATCCTCCAAAATCATTAAAAAATAAACAACAATATGAATCATGGAGCACAACATAATAATAATAATAATAATTTGTACAAGAAAATTTCTGCAAAACGGCATTTTATCCTCCAAAATGCTCAGCACACTGCCATTCATGTGCCAAACGGCAAACTTCAGGGTAAAATAAGTATATAATAATAATGTAATTTGTACAAGAAAAAAATTTAAAAAAACACACATTTTAAGGATTTAGACAATGGCACTATTCACATAGCCATTTGTTCTTTATGCTTCTCTTATGCAGGTTGCTCGAGCTCAGATTGTACAGGACGGTAGATTTATGTTTTTTCACAGTTTTGTACAGGGGTTTTGGTGGTGGTGCACGCTTATATTTTCCCGTGTACACGCTTCGTTGCCCTTTTTGTGTCAGAGTAGTATCTAAGAAAAAAAAATCAGAGCTCTGAAAAAGATAGTAAGGCCATGTTTAGTTCCACCAAATTCCCAACTTTGATACTATGCAAAAAGAAGATTCTCCGCCACATCAAATTTACGGTACATGCATGGAGTACTAAATGTTAATGAAATCAAAAACTAATTGCACAGTTTGGTTGTACTTTGCGAGATGAACGTTTTGAGTCTAATTAGTCAACGATTGGATAATTATTACCAAATAAAAATAAAAACGACACTTATTACCAAATAAAAATAAAAACGACACTGTAGCTACAGTGAATTGGTCGGCGCAGATTCGGGCCAACTAAACACGTCCTAAATGAAAATGGGAACGGGTAGTTAACCACAATTGGCGGCGTTCGCCGATGGGACCTTTCCTGCTAAGGGCCTGTTTGGTTCTATAAGTAAGGTGACTTATTAAGTCAGGTGACTGAAAATCAGTGACTTATAAGTCATGCCTGTTTTGTTGTAGATGACTTATAAGTTTATTAAAGGTGTGGGCCCCACGTGAAAAAAGGGTGACTTATAAGTTTTAAGCAGGGGTGAACCAACTTAAAACTTATAAGTAGGGGTGACTTATAAGTTGGTGATGTTTGGCAAAATAAATCATTTTTTTCACTTTTTAACTTATAAGCAGGTTACTTGGAACCAAACGTGTCCTAAAGCTTTTCGCAGAAGCCCCCACACTATCAATGAAATGATGGCCCCACCTCATGCCGTGGCCCACAGATACATGGAGTAGGAAGTGCGCGGGGTTTTCGCACAGGTAACTTTCACGCACATCATCTTCATTCATCTATGTCCTCGTAAATGGAGCAGAGGCAGAGCTTTGCGTTTCTTCTACTGGCTGGGAAGTGACAAGCGGCACATTTGCAATAGAGCCTGCGGAAATATTATATTTGCATGTCTTCCCTAGTACAAATTTTGTGTTGTTTGGACACTCGACATTATAAACTTCTTTTCAACTTTATGTTGGATAGAAGTGTTTTCTTCCTTCCTTATAAAGCAGTGCCAGATGTCGTGGACTTTCAAACCTATGGTACATAGACTAGGTAGTACTCCCTTACTCTCTCTATTTAAATTATAAGACATTTTGACTTTTCTAAATACATAAGTTTTGCTATGTACTTAGATATCACTATTTCTAGGTACGTGGTAAAAATAATGTATTTAGAAAAGCCAAGACGTCTTATAATTTAAAATGAAGGGAGTACATCATAGTATAAATTTATGGTTTTTATTTTAGATGCTTGCACAATGCATATGAGCATAGGATGATGGGCTGTTAAGAGAGAGGGTATGATGCTCTTAAGCATGCAGCGGGTTATTCTCTATATAGGCACCACTGGACTAATGCTAGGTAAGACAATAGTCGATAGTGAGAATAAGATGACCGGCTTGTTAATTACTGTACTAGCATGTTTGATATGCATAATTAACGTGCACTTTTAGTTATGACATACATGACAAAAACAATGACATAACAAGTTTTTGTGTTCCATTCAACCAACCACAAGGTTCATGTGGCCTCGGTCTCTTAGATTCCCACCCTTCTATAACTTGTGCTCATTGCTTACGTGGTTCCACTTTGTGTGGTGTTTATCTCTCTCTCTCTCGATCTCTCTCTCTCGATCCCCTCTATTTTAGTTATTATGCTTTTGTAACTATGTTAATTTACACTGTCTATTAATGTACAATCAAATATCAAAAATCACATCTTGAGAAAGGTAAAATGGATGAATAATCTCGGCACAAGTTTTTTTCTCTCTCTCAAAAGGTAGTGTAGCTCACATGAAGAGTAGCACGGGAATATACAGCCTTGACCCCTAGCAGTAGGCGAATGGAGGAAGTGACCGGTGACCACCACAGTCCATGAAAACTTTGTAATTATTGTCTCTGGGCATGGATGCAAATAAACAATGTGTGGATGGCCTAGTTTTGAGAAGGGCGCCTTTAAATAAGGCCCTCGGATTCTAGCGCTCCTCGGGGAGAGCAGCACAATCTCCTTCTGCTAGCCCCCGTACGCTTCTTCTATAGGCCGTCACTACATTACACGCCAGAGTGTGTGTTTATCTCCGTGTGCTGTTGTGTGCGTGAGAGAGACCCACACTTGACTAAACTCAGCAGCCGCAGTTTACCTGTTTGCTCCTGAGATAGGAAAGAGCAACATTTTCCAATCAGTCAGGCCTGTTGCGTGTTGGCTTCTCCTAATCCATCGTTTTCTGGTGTGATCAGTTGGGGGATCAATCTTCTCAAACCACCCACTGGATTCCTTCCGTCCCCTGATTTCGATGCAGCAGGCCAAGGATGGCTGCTCTATGATTTACTAGCTGACGCCTGAGTGTGAGTGAGTGTGTGTTTCTGATCATTTGTTTGGCCTCTTTCTTCTCCCCTCTCCCTGTTCGTCGCCTCTTGCGTGACCAACTGACGGTTTCATCATCCCATCTCAGATCACTCGACGGAGCAGCACAAGCTGCGTACTTGCTCTCTGACTCTGATTCTTGTCCACCTCACTCGCTCCCTAGGATCGATTTCAATAACAATCAGTCAATATATCTTGCTACTCTGCACAGATTGGATTAGGTTCGGCTGAAGTTGGAACAGAGGATCGGGAGAAATGCTGAAGAAAGCATCAGGAAGAGCTGCGGCCGCAATGGGCTGCGGTGGTGATCCCCCAGCACCATCGCGTCCCACACCCAAGGTCACCGAGGGCGGCACCGGCACCGGGAGGGCGGCGTCTCGGCTTCTTTCTACGAGGTCGCTCCCGAGCCTCTTCACGGACTCCGCCATGAGCGCCGCTTCCGTGGCCGAGCTGTCCAGGAACGCTCCCTGCTCCTCCGGCGGAAGAAACGGCAGCGTCCGGTCCGGTGGCATCGGGGGCAACGCGGCCGCCGCGGGCCTGGCGGGCGTGCTGGTGGCCGAGGAGGAGGTCGAGCGGGGGTCCTGCAAGAACAACCGCAGGGTGCTCCTCGGGATGCGGCTCAGGGTGCAGCTGCCGCCGCCGCCCAATAGGGGACCCGGCGGCGGAGGAGGGGACCTCCCGGGCTCGCCGATCGAGTTCGGGGTCAAGAACAGGGACGCCCAGCTCGCGCTGCTCTCGCCCGTGCAGCGGTCGCCGCTGTCGTCGGCGGCGGCGAGGCTGGCGCGGAGGAGCGAGGTGGAGGAGCTCGCCGGGGAGGACTACACCTGCGTCATCGCCCGCGGGCCCAACCCCAAGATGACGCACATCTTCGAGGACCGCGTCGTCGAGAGCCGCGCCGACGCCGGCGCCGGTGGTGGCGCCGCCGACGCCTGCTGCTTCCTCTCAAGCTCTTGCTCTGGGTGCAACAAAGATGCTGCTCTCTTGCTGAAAAGGTGAACATCTCTCTCGTTTCTGATCATCTGCAATCTGCACATCAAGCTTCCTACTTGTTTGTGTGATTGGTTTACTGAAACTGCTAAATATTCAGTATCCTTTTGTTTTGATTGCGCGGTTTCAGTTCGTTGCTCATTCAGATTTCATTCAAGCTGGGTGAATTTTGCAAGTTTTTATATAGTCAGCATTTGAGATCATCATTGTTAGTGGCTTTCTTATGACTAGTGGTTTAGGTGCCTTGGACTAGTTCCATGATAACTAATAATTACTGTTCAGAGATAATGGAAATGCTTTTGAAGTAGGATACAAGATAAGATCATGGTCATATTCTAATGCCCTATTCGCTTTGGTGATAAGTGGTAATTTGAAAAGATCTTGTTTGGCTGATTTGTTGTGAGAGAAAAATAATGTTCGTTGACTGAAAAAGTACGACTTATAAAACAAGCGAACATTGTCAACCTTCTTAGTCTAACAGCGACGGCTTTGGCCGCGACCGCATTGTTCATGGTCTATTGCCACTCACTCCAGCAACAACATCTCATTTTCATCTGGCCTGAAAGCAACATGATTCCTGCAAATAGTTTAAGCTTCAGCTTGGGAGCTGTACCTTGTAAAGTATTTGCAGCAGGTAGCCTGTAACTGACTGTGAGTGAGTGACACCAATTGATCCCAGACAACCTCAGGATGCAGAAAGAAAAAGGATTGAATACCGGCCCTTTTTTTCTGTGGTCCATGAACCATGACATGACGCTGATATACAGATTGTGGTCGTGGATCTGGGGTCCCCGATCTTTGTCGATCATTTGTTGCCGGCCCTGAATTTGTTTCTCCAACAGTGACGTTTTTTTCCGTCTCCTTGAATTCGGGATCCCTGGTGAGATTGAGATGGACCATAGATATTGCCACCACCGTTGTCTGCTAATTATTCAGTTTCTTGGACGCAGTGGGTTCATAATTTATGTTCCTTTGGACTTTCTTCCAGCATACTAGTTAGTCTTAGTACAGGGCATACAAGGCGTATTTTGGAGGATAGCTAGTTGTAAATGTAATCATGTCTGAATAGACTGATAGCCTAAATGCTACTTATCACAATTCACATACAGAGACAATTTTACATGATGTTGTCTCTTGGATGGATTATAACAATTGTATTTGTATGTACTGATCCATCTATTTCGTCTTCCAGAGGTGAGAGAGAACTCTGCAGCAACCAATGGAATGAAGGGCTGCTGTTTGGTGAAAGGGCTGGCGGGTCACGGGACTCATCGGTGAAGCTGAAGCCCTGACTGAATTCTCCGTCCTGAATTTTGGCAGAGCCTATATGTTAAGTGATAAACCATTCTTGTCTCCTTATTGAGACCAATGTTATCCGTGCTTTGTTCCTGTGTCTTTTGGCTGTAGTCAGGACTGATGACAAATGCTGAGCGGTCCATCAACTTGTTGCAGTCAGATACTGTTGAGTTGATATGCCCTTGTTTCATCCGTTCAGGCTGGGTCTGAGGTTCCTGTATTAATTGGAATTGCGCACAAAATCATCCGTGTTCATTTTTTTTCATTGGGAGGAACTAATTCGTCAGTTTTTTTCGTTTTTTTTTCTTTTCGGGAGATGGGGAGCATCTATTTCTAAGGCAGAATTCTGTGTGTTCACCAGGACTGATCCAGTAGCTTGAGGAATTTCATGGGAGTATGAGGCCCAGTAACTTGTAGACGGTAATAATGGGCCGCCGTGCCTTTTTTTTTCTTTTAATTCCACAAAACGATGGGCTGGTAGTATCACTGGCAGAATTCTGTGTGTTCACCAGGACCGACCCAGTAACCTGCGGAATTTCATGGGATTTGGAGGCCCAGTAATATGTAGGCGCTAATAGTGGGCCGCCGTACCATGGGCTGGTAGTATCACTGGCCAGTGAGTGGCCACCGATCCCATGATCCCAAACGCAAAGTTTAATAAGCGACCGGTCGCGCTCCGCCTCCAGCGCGCGACACGACACCCGTCCGTGACGGGCCGGCCCAGTAGTGGCCATCGCCTCCCCAGGCCGAAGCACCAATCCCCAATCCGGGCGTCTCCTTCTCCACCTCCTTCGTTCGCAGCACACCTCTGCGCTCCGATCGAATCTCCCACATGCCGTGTCCGAGACGAGATGAGCGAGCAAGCAGCGGTCGACAAAACGCCCCCGACGCTCTCATCCCGCACCGCGCGCGCCGGCGCACTCTCGGCACATGGCCGGTGTGCGGAGGCGCTGGCGTTGCTCGCCGTCCCGGAGGCGGCGGCGGACGGCAGGGCGGTGACGGTGCTCCTGGCGGCGTGCGCGCGCGCGCCGGGATGGTGACCGAGGGGAGGCGCGTGTTCGCGAGGGTACCTCGCCCCGCGCTGCAGCACTACACGTGCATGGTGGAGATACTCGGGTGCGCCGGGGAGGTGGACGAGGCGGAGGGCCTAGTGGTCGGGATGGAGGCGCATCCGGACAGGGTCATCTTCGCGGCGCTCCTCGCCATGTGCACGGCCGCGTCGACGTCGCCGAGCGGGTGTCCGAGCTCATGCGCCGGTATGGTATTGAGTGAAAACGCACGGTCTGACTAATGCATCAGCAGTTGAAATGCAGTTCAGACCCAAGATCTGATCATCCATCATCGTGCATCTTTTGCGATGATTGCTTGGACATGAACCTGACTATGTGGTAGTGACCTAGTGTTTCCTGTTAGTACATTGGATTTTATTCAGTCGTTCATGCAGCGAGAGCCCTCCTAGCTTCTAAAATCAGAAATCTATTGACTGTCAGTCTGTCTGCTGTGGGTGAAGGTCTTCAGGTCCGTTCTGGCATCACATGAACATTGCGCCTGAATGCAACAAATGGCCATGAGATGTGTGTATATAGATTGTCATGCCAATTTTCTTGTCTCAGTCTGTAAATTGTCACATCAACTTTGTTGGAGCTAGCAGTACAGCCAGGACTTGTGAAACATGGATGCTTGATTACAAAATTTTAACTATTAGTCAAGTTTTGTGCAACAAGGTTCTGATTGAGACTTCCATGAAACTCACAAATTTGGCGTTGTTGTCATGTCTGGGAACTTGTGGTGATGCACACTCATAATTAAGGTCTAGAAGCTGCCGAGTTTCCAACATGTTCCGTGGTATGGAATGTATCTGCTAATATTGTTGAAATGGAATATTAATGGCCAATGTAAGAATCTTAACATCCAGCGGTACCATATTTCCTGAGTTAGCATGAAGATTTTTCTTTTTCATTGTGTCTACATTAGTTTTCAACTTCTATTTGTCAATTTCAGTCTGATTATCTTGTTGTCAATTTCAGTTTTGGTATTATGTTTCTTTCTTTATTTTTTCATTTTATCTACTTTAGTCCTCAGGAACTAAAATGGTCGATTTCAGTTCAATTTTCTGAATGTTATTTTCAGTTTCAGTTTTTTTACTGTTTTGTACTATTTAGCCACTTGTGATGAGATCTATGAACTATTTAGCCACTTGTGATGAGATCTATGAAATAAGACTATGATGCATGTGTTTTCAAATTAGTTTGTATGTATTGGCAACTTATGTTATATATGTAATAGCTATTTATGTATTAAGCGTGTAGCAACCCATATATTAACCTTCCAACAAATTATATATAGTAGCAAACGTGTAGCAACTTATGTATTAAGCGTGTAGCAACTTATTTGTCAATTTCAGTTTTCATTATTTGTTGTCATTTTCAATTCTAGTTTATTGTACTTTTAGTTTTAGTTTTTTTATTGTGTCTTCTTTAGTTTTTATTTTCTATTTTCAATTTTAGTTCTATTTTTTGTTTGTCAATTTCACTTCTATTATTTTTGTTAATTTCAGTTTCATTTTACAGTAAGTCATGTTTGCTGGATTTTGTAATAACTGCCTACTAGTTGAAAGCAAGTCTTTTTTTATGTTTTTCGTTGTGTCTACTTTAGTTTTTATTTCCTATTTGTCATTTTCAATTTTATTTTCTGGTTGTCATTTTCAGTTTTAGTGTCTGGTAGCTATTTTCAGTGGTTCAATTTTTTGTTCAGGTTTGAATGCCAATTTAAATCCTGCATGTTAACTGTTCTTCAATATTTCCTTCTTTTAAATATTTCTTTTTTTAATGCTTATTTTAGTTTCAGTTTAATGAGTTTTGAGGAATTTTATTTATTTTTGTTTGTCAATTTCAATTTTTTTCCTGGTAATTTTACTTTCAGTGCTATTTTGCATTTTTTTGTTTTTTTGTCATGTTTTTTTTAGTTTTTGATTTCAATCACCCTTTTAGGTCTCCTGCATATTAGTTGCCTCATGTACAATGTATAAGTTATTACAAAAGGGTAGCTATTGAACACATAAGTTGCCACAAAAGAATTTGCCTCCCAATTTTAGTTTTCAGTCAAGTTTTTTTTCAGTTTTATTAGTGTTGTCTTTTTAATATTTCTTAGTTTCAGTTCTCAGTCACCCTTTTATGTTTGAATGCATTCATAAATCGTACATAATAGTTGTATAATAAATTATTTCATTTTTTCTCAATTATTTGTTTTGTTTTCTGGTTGTTAATTTCTTTTTTAGTCACCGGTAATTTCAGTTTTAGTTTTTATCACTTATTTGTAGTATTTAGCCACTTGTGATGAGATCTATGAAATAAGACTATGATGCATGTGTTTCAAAATAGTTTGTATGTACTGGCAACTTATGTTTTAAGCGTGTAGCAACTTATTTGTCAATTTCAGTTTTCATTATTTGTTGTCATTTTCAATTCTAGTTTATTATACTTTCAATTTTAGTTTTTTTATTGTGTCTTCTTTAGTTTTTTTTTTCTATTTTTAATTTTAGTTCTATTTTTTGTTAATTTCAGTTTCATTTTGCACCGAGTCATGTTTGCTGGATTTTGTAATAACCGCCTACTACTTGGAAGCAAGTCTTTTTTTATGTTTTTTATTGTGTCTACTTTAGTTTTTATTTCCTATTTGTCATTTTTAGTTTTATTTTCTGGTTGTCATTTTCAGTTTTAGTGTCTGGTAGCTATTTTCAGTGGTTCAATTTTTTGTTCAGGTTTGAATGCCAATTGAAATCCTGCGTGTTAACTGTTCTTCAATATTTCCTTCTTTTAAATATTTGTTTTTTTCAATGTTTATTTTAGTTTCAGTTTAATGAGTTTTGAGTTTTATTATTTCATTTTTCATTCAAGGTTTGAATGCATTACTGAATCCTACATATTAGTTGTACAATAACTTACCCTCTAAGTTAACACATTATATAATGCTTCTTCTAATAATTTAGGCCACTACTCTTGTCTTTTAATAAATGTCCCTCCATTTGTTAGCTTGTTTCCTGGCTTATACAGTGGGTTATATAATAACTTGTTCCTTTAGTTGGCAGCTTATGCAATGCTTGTTTTAGCAATGTGCCCCCAGGTTACAACTTATCTTGTTTTGTGCCACTACCCTTATTTTTTTAATAAATGCTCTTAGTGGCAGCAAGTCATATTTACTGGCTTTTTAATGTGTTGTATAATAACTTTCCCTTGTAATGTGTTGTATAATAACTTGCCCCCTAATTACCAGCTTATGTAATATTTATTTGAATAATTTGCCCCTCCAGGTTGCAGTTTGTCTTGTTTTGGTCCGCTACTCTCTTTAGGGGTGAAAGCATCTAGGCTCTAGTGGGATTTCGGTGATTAATGACGACACAAGGTTACTGTGACTAACGTGTGTTTTGCAGAGGCAATTTGAGTTAGGTTATGGTAATGATGATTGATTGGGCAATTATGGTTTTCATGCCCCTATCGATGGAAATCATTTCGGTTTTCAAAGGATGGACGACAAGGTTGAGGACGACTAGTTCTAAGTGTTATTTGGTGTTGGAGAGACACTTAGAGTAGTTTATGACTTTATTTTTCCTTTGGCCGTACTATTAAGGAGGGTATGAACTAGTAGCTTAACCTAAGTAAGTCTAATGGTTTAGGTGTGGTGCACACTTGTAAAACTTAGCACTAGATAGCTTAGAGATATCCCAAAGATCAATTGGAGTCAACTTCATTCACAAAGTTTCTCGAATTGGAAGTGAATGGAATTGAGACAAGGTGATCGGACGCTGGTCCTTGTGGGACCGGACGCGTCAGTCGATTGCCATGTGTGAGACAGAAGAGGAGCGACGGACGCCCAGCTCTTGGCGTAGCCGGGGACGACAGTCTTGGCTCATCAGAGTAGCAGAGAGGCGCGGCGCACCACGAGACCGAGATCTTTGAGGACGTTGTGACCTGATGCACTGGAGGCCGCTCCGATCGACAACATAAAGCATCCAGAGAAGGTTTCTGGGGATCTGACGCGTCAGGTTAGGGTGGACCTGACTTCGCCGTGAGTCCGGTCACTCTAACAGTCGACTGTTTGAGCGGTCACCCCAAAATGTGCTGAGTTGGACCCAACATGTATGTTTTGAAGTGGGGAGTATAAATACTTCTACTCATCCAACCTAGTTCTCTTGCCCATTTCTTCAGCTGAAAAACACCTTTGGAGTGCAAGGGGGGGCAAAAGCCTAGTGGGGTGATTGAGATTTGAGAATCCAAGATTAAGGACCTCATTAGTGCATAGGGAGTAGCAAGTGTGCATCCACCTTTCTCATTAGGCTTGTCTGGGTCAAGTGAGAGTTTGTGCTTGTTACTCTTGGTGATCGCCATCATCTAGACGGCTCGGTGGTGATTGGATGCTTGGTGATTATCCGACGGAGCTTGTGGATGACCCAAGTCAGGGTATGAGCAGTTGTGGGTGATTCACCATGACGGAGTGTCGAAGAATTAGCATGTAGAGAGCACTTGATCCTTACGCGGATCAAGGGGGAGCTACACCCTTACGCGGGTTCTCCAACGAGGACTAGTGGGGAGTGGTGACTCTCTGATACCACAGAAAAATATCGCCGTGTTCCTCTTCCTCTCTTTACTTTGAGCATTTACTTTTGATCAATTCAATTCATGTCTTTACATTCTTAGAATTGTCATGTTAGAGTAGGATTGGAACCTAGGGTGTAAAACTTTTGTGCGGTAGAACAATAGAAACACTTCTAGGCAAAAGAGGGTGAAATAGGCTAAGTGTAGGACTTAATTATTGAAAGAAATTTAGAATTAGCCCAATTCATCCCCCATCTTGGACATCTTAATCCTTTCAATTGGTATCAGAGCCTTGTGCTCCTTAAATTAGGCTTAACCGCCTAGAGCAAGATGTTCCGTCTTTGAGGGAGATGATTTGCCTTATTAGAAAATTTGCATGGAGGCGTACCTAGAGGCTTTAGATGTTGGAGTGATTAGAGCCACCTCACAAGGCTTTCCAAAACCTAAGGATCCCGCCAACCTTCAAGGTGATGAGGTTCACTACGAGAAGTGGAATGCAAAGGCTAGAAACACTCTTTTTAGAGGCCTTTGCAATGATGTCTTTAACCGTGTGCGGAACCACAAAGACGCTCATTCACTATGGTCGGACATTTGTGCACTCCATGAGAGAACCAAGAGTGAGCATGAGGAACGCTATCACCTTGTGATGAAGAAGCTTAATTAATTTGAAATGCTTCCTAGTGAAAGTGCTAATGAAATATATTCACGCTTGAATGTTCTTGTAGAGGAGGTCAATGGGCTTGGACTCACTCAAATGCAACCATCCAATGTTGTGAGAAAGATCTTGAGTGTCCTCCCTATTGACAAGTATGGGTATATTGTGACAATGCTTCATCAAGGTGATCTTTCCACCGCTATGCCAACTCAAATATTGGGGAAGATCAATGCACATGAGATGTATATGCACATCACTCCACAAGATGGCTCTTCTTCCACCAAGAAGAAAGATTTGGCATTCAAGGCTAGCCAAGAGAAGAGGGGCAAAGCAAAAGTTGATCATGATAGCTCAAGTGATGATGAGATTGATGATACAAGCCTTGCTCTCATGGTGAGAAGAACCGCCAAGATGCTCAAGAAGCTAAACAATAATGGTGTCAAGTTTGATGGCAAGAAGAAGAAATTCTTCACTAGTAGTAGAAGGAAGCCTATCTTCGAAATGGATTTCTATAATTGTGGAGATCTTGGTCATCTAGCTCATCAATGCCCCAAACCCAAGAAAGACAAGTACAAGAAGAAGTACAAGGGCAAGAAAGATGACTCAAGTGTTGATGATGGTGAAAAGAAGAACAAACCATACAAGAAGAAGGATGGCAAGAAGAAGAAGAATGGCAAGGCCTATATTGTTGGTGATTGGCTCACAGACATTGAATCATCAAGTGGCTCATCCAATGATGAAAGTGAAAATGAGAAGGAGAAGGTGGCCGCTCTTGTGATTGGCTCTTCACTATCTCCATCGACACCATCGCCATCATCCTCTACACACCTATGCCTCATGGTCAAGGGTGAACGAAAGGTACAAAATGATGATGATAGTAGTGGTGATGACAATGCTAGTGATGATGAGAATGGTAGTGATAGTGATGAAGAATTTGAATCACCTTCTTATGATGATCTTGTCAAATTGCTAAACCAATACACTAAAATCATTAGAAAGACAAGAGCTAAAAATGAGAAGCTAGAACTTGAGAATGACTCACTCTTAGCAAAGTATGACATAGCCGAAAAAGCTAGTGATGAGCTTAGAGAAGAGAATAAAATTGTGTCATCCAAACTCAAGGAGCTCAAAACCTCTAAAAGGGATATTAGAGAAAAACATGATAAACTTGAAGGGATACACAATGAGCTCACCACTAGTTACAACTTGCTAAAAGAAGAGTACACCAATCTCAAGATTAATCATGACAATCTTGTTCTTTCTCATGAGTTATTGTCCAATGAGCCGCATGATGCTACTAACAATGTTGTTAAGATTGATATAGCCACATCATGTGATGGCTTGATTGTTGAGAGCGTTGAGCAAGGTTCTAGTAGCAAAAGAAAGAAAGTGGTTGAGTCCGACAACTATAATGATTATGTAAATCTCAAGAATAAGAATGAAAAGCTCAAGAAGGATCTTGAAAAGCTATCAACCACCAACACAATTGTGATAGAGAATCTTGACAATGATCA